CACCCACACCCACACGTGGGACATGAAGAAGAATTGTTGCTAAAAATTCGAAGCGTAAAAATGCAGCGTACGTGCAAAATGCACCGCAAGCAGGGTGTGGTTAAAAGGGGGCGGGGCAGGGGGAGAGTCTTTGGTAAGTCATGTTGCCCCATGAAAAGCCAACAAACCTTGGCTCAAAGTTTTCAATGCGCGCGTAGCGAAAACAAAAGGTTTTTTATTGAATTTTGAAATGCAGCGCTGAGGTGAAGTCCCTCCTGGGCACCCGCTACCCCCTCATCGTCTCATCCTCACCAACAACCCAACGACCCACAATTCGATACATGTTTTACAGTGTGTGCGTATGTGGTGTAGGTGTGGGTGTGTGCGTTGAGTGAAAAAGCCGCGACTGTCACGCTGCATTTGCTGCAAGAAGCAGCAGCATCAGCGAGCAGAATACCTTAGCCAGGAGCAAGTTAGGCCAAATCCAGCACGTGTTAGCGGGGTTGCACACTGAAAAATATATATGTTTTGCTTAAGTCGGTACATTTCACTATTTTTAAAACACCATTTCAGAAAGCCAAAGGTATGAAAATAAAAGGGAATTCAAAACATTTAAATAAATCAATCAATAAGAAACAATAAGAATAAAAAAAATTTACGCGGATGTTTTAATTTAATTTCTTTTGCTTAACTTACCAAACTATATACAGAATAAAGAATGTTAAGACATTTTTATAATGAAAGAAAAGTTCCTGTGACTTTTAGCTCTGTTATCCAAAAAAAAAAATATTAAACAGTTTTATAATATATTTAATCATATATTAAATATATTTTATTTACCTCTAAAATGACTGCAAAACTGTTTAAGAAGAACTTTGGGATTACATCAGCTGTCTAAAAGTATGCAACTGCATGGCAGAGGTTGAATTTGAGCCAAACATATCTGATTCACTCTTACAATCCATCAGTACTACCAATACAGGCACTTTTTAATGCCTTCTGTATGTTTGCACACTTTTATTCTCAGTGTAAGATTGCCCTGCTGAGATTGCTCACATCGGTGCGCGATCAAAGTTAGCGGGGATATTTTAAAGCTTGTCAAAACCGTTGCAATAAATAAACGTGGCGAGCTAGACTACACCCTCAAACGTCTTGGGGGAGCGAAAAGAAGGCGCCAAGGGCTGCGGCTTTGGTGGAAAACATTTAAAAGCGCTTGTGGGTAAATAAAGTTTAGCGGGAAAGCTTTCACCTTCGGCTAGTTGACCCCAGGCACCTGTCAGTGTTTGAGGTAACAAGGTGAAAGCAAACGAAGCGTGGCGAGGAAAATTAAATTCACACGAAAAATGAAAGCAGATGCAAGTGACAGAGTAATGTATGAAAGAGATTAGATTTAGGTTTTAAGATCAAGAAAATCAGTACATACTTAAAGATTAATATAAGATTATTATGATTTCATATTCTTGTTTATTGGATTATTTCTTAAACCGTCATTTTCCTGCTCGAAGCAGCTATCAAAAATATCTGCTTTCATTCAAGAGCTCACCACAAAAACCGAACACCAAATTAGGGAAAACTTTTTGCGACAAATCGAATGAAATACCAAGAAATGTCCTGGCAAATGAAATGATTACCTGGAGAAGATTTCGAGACTTCTTTTCATGCGAAACCCACACACACACATGCTCAAAGTCACAATTAAGCCTTTAGTCAATGCCCCTCCTCAGCCATCCTCCTTTTCGATGTGATTACATAAATCCTGAGGAAAAAAGAAACACGAGTGGTGAGCGGTGGAGTGGTGGTTGTGGGTCAACCTTTTTTGATTATGATTGGGACACATGGGGAAACGACTACTGCTGGACAACTCAATATGGCTAAAAGCCAAGCGAGAAAGCCACCGGGTCCTTGGGTATTAGGCTAATTGCTGGACCAGCCTGAAAAGATATCCGGATCCGGATTGAATTTTTGGAGTGCATGCAACTCCTCGTCTCATGTCAATGCCAAGCCAAGTTTAATCAACGTTCCACAGACTTTTTTCTCGCTTTCTCGTTTTTTTTCTGGCATTCCATTAAATCCTATCGTTTGGATACCCTTTCTGAGGCTGCTAAAAATATGACCTGAATGCATAAATGCATTGAAAACAGATATTTATAAATTTGTTTTCAGTATTTTAATTTTAAGTATCATAACATCTAAATTGTCAGCATTAGTGTTTTTAATAAAATGTCGGTAGTTCAATATTTTTATTTGAACTTGAAAAAGTATATGCATAAATGTAAATTTTTATGGTTAGTTGCCCTAATCCAATCCCTAATTAGAACTAAGAGCTACTATTACCATTCTATTTATTTTCCACCACTATTGATCATTTGATGACTCTATGACTCTGTTAGGGCATTTGTCGCATCATACCCCTTATTCACTTTTTGTATAGTTTTTATATATAAAGCCTGATGTTGGCAAATTAATTCAGGAAATTCAATAAAAACAAGTACCAAAACATGGCAAACAAAACTCGTTGAGTCGTCGAGAATTTGCCCTCAATGCTCGCAGCTCCATGCAATCAAAGAGTGCATAGATAAATCACCCGGCTAAATTCAGGGGGGGATCTGGAGCATGGAGGAGGTACGGAAGCCTCTGCTGGGCGGCGGTGGGTTAAAAAACACGGCCAAAATGTCAATGCAAATTTAATGGCTGACAATTTATATGCATGCCAAGTGACTTTTGGCCAACTACTGAACTTTGTGTGAATGCAAAAGCAGCCGGGGAGCTGGGAACAGTTTGGAGGGGAGTGGAGTGGAGGGGAGTGAAGGGAAGTGGAGTGGCAGTGGCAGTGGCACAAAAACCGGGTGCTGGGCAGGTTCGAGATGGGGGGGCTAGAAAAAAGTTCCGAAGGTGCCAAGTGGCTGTCAAACTTTTGCCAGCAAGCGGGGTGCGAAGGAATTCTCGCCCAAATCGAATGCAATGGAATCGAAATGCGAAATCGAATGAAATTCCTCGTTTGTCCTTAAATTAAGCCAACGCATCCATGGCCCACCTATTTCCCAGCACTGCATGTTAACATTAACGGTTTATTTATGCCGACGGCGACATTTAAAATGCATTTCCTGCGACCGTTGGTTGGGCCTTGGCCCCAAGATGAAACCAAGGGGGCCAAAAGAGAAATGGCCAAAAAGCTACGGATAAACCGAGTCGGAAAAAAAGAGGATTAAAAATTAACTGCACGGCAAAGCGAGGGGCATCAGAAATGACTTTAAGACGTGTATTTATAACGCAACTCGGAAACTTTATGGCGACGCATCGGGAGCATAAATACAGAGAGGTGTCGACGTGACCACCCAGAAGGGATCAGTGGCGTAGTCCCAAAAATATGCCTCCCAGTGTAGTTAAGATAATAAAGAAATGGAGAAAACTCTGGAAGTGCCTTCCACGGTGTAGGACCAAAAAGTGGGTCAACTAATAAAGAAATTGAATAAAGGCATTGTTTTCTGGAGGCTATACAATTTTATATAACTAATATTTGTAATTTCTACGATTTATAAGAATAAAAAACAATAATGATTGCCAAAGATATATAAAGTCAAATTACAAAATTAACAGTATAAATAATTAGCGTGGCAAAGGCTAAATCAAGTATTTATTCTAAAATCTAGCGAACAAAACAAGGGGATAAATGTTAGGTGAAGAGGTAAAAAATATGCAAAGAAAAACTTACTAGTTACATTGGTGGTAACACTTTTTAAAATGGTAACTAGGCAAAATAAATGTAGAATGTAGTTTACCGATAAAAAAAAATGATTCAAATATTTATAAATTTTTAACCATTAGATCGTGTTTATGTCACACTCGTATTTGTTCAATTAAATCATTAAGCCCTTGGAGACCCGTAAAACCACATATTGAAAGGTCTGCGACACGAAGTCGCTTCCTATCGCAAACGCATTCCTTCTTATCTTGCTTCGATTTTGTGGTCAAACCCCTTTGGTTGTTATCAATCAACCGCTTACAAGACACTCACAAGTGACCAATAAATTATTAATTAAGTTGAAAATCAAGCAAGCAAACAGCAATGCTCAAGATTGATGGTAAATTGGGGAGGAGGCGTCACCCTGTGGCGAATCCATCATGCGACTGTCGTCGAACTTAACCAATCGGAAGACAGTAAGACCCACTGCTCCACTTGGGCATTCGGACTCGGTCTTTTGGCCTGGTCATTTCCAATGACAACAACAAGGCGGACAACGGAATCGGGTTGGTTTGGTTTCGCAATGTCCAGCGTAACAAAAGTCGCTTGTTTTGGACAACAGCAACGGCAGTGGCAAGAAAAAGCTCCCAAGCCGCAAGAAGTTGGCCAGATCGAAGGGTTTTTCTGTCGGGAACAACGTTATGCACTTAAAGACAAAGAAACATTGGAGCACAACCAAACAAAAACCAAATAACGAACGGAAAGAAATACTCAAAGTGCTGAGGAAAGCTATTACGACTACATGACACCTTATACATTGTTTATAATTAAATTTTAAAATCAGATTTTCAATTTATTGGTAAGCAACATAAACAAAAAAGAATGTTAAGCCCCTGCATTTTTGAAGAAAATGATAAAGACTTAAACAGCTATGATTTTGGCAAAGTTTCATTGCAAAAACTGAAATTTAAAACTGAAAGATTGCATTCCTTAAAAACGGGCAGAGTGAGATTTCTTGATCACATCGAAATTATAACAGAGTTTAAATTGGAACACAATTTTTCTTAAAAAATACTCTAGCTCCCTCGCCAAGATGCGTTTGATGGTCTTTGCTATTAAAGATATCTTTAAGAGGGCTCTATAAATTAAACAAATATCATACAGTGTATACCATTGCAGTACCTCCTACTAGAGGCAATACACCGAGACGAAAACCAAATGAAATGGTGCAAAAAACGGACAGCAAAGTTGGCAAATCAGCCGCAAACTGGGGCAGGGCGAGGAGAGTGTGGATAAAAAGGTTCGCCGGCTCGAGGCGAGTCCAGTAGACGGCGACAAGCGGGCGTGGCAGCTGCACCAGAAGCACAGAGAAATACGGAGATAGAGTGGGTAGAAGGAAGGAGCCAGCCAGGACCCAGGATAACAAAGAGCAGAAGTGGCATCAGCCATGTGGCCGGCTTGGCAAGTGATAACGCTGCTGGGGCTTCTGGCCAGGGCTTTGGCCCTCCACTCGACGCCGGACAGGGCCATGGCCATTAGCTCGGCGCTGCTTGGCCAGGACTTTGCGGACTTTCAGCCATACTTTGGGGTGAAACAGGACCAGGTAAGGAAATCTTTGCAAAGAGCAGGGATTAAAAATAACAGTTTTTTATTTATAAATATATAAATATAATATTACAAAAGAAAATTGGAATCACACTTTAAAGCCTGCAGAAATGATTCATTAAAATAGAGTATAGTAAAAATAAACATTAAAATGTATGCATGTCACATTGTTTTTCAAATTATTAAAACCTTATAAAGTAATAACTGTTTTAATAGGTTTATCCAATAGGAAAATTGAAGGTTTCAATATTTTTTTATTTTAAATCTTAATTTTTGTATACCTAAAATTTAAAACTTTGATTTAAACAAAACACTGCTCGGGGGTAAATCAGTACCGAAATTATTTATTTCAAAGTGAAAATATTTTGATTTTGGTTCTTTCTGAAAAATAACATTTATAGTTTCTAGCACCATTTGATTATTCAGAATTCCTATCCATAACTATATATTTTAGGAACCGGATCAGCTGGTGGCCGCCTCGAAGCACGAGGAGCACTCGGAGGGCGGCGAGGAGGAGTCCGGGGAGGAGCACCACAGCGAGCACTTCCACAAGAAGGGCGGAAAGAGCAAGAAGGGTCACAAGCACGACGAGCACTCCGAGAAGGGGGCGAAAGGTCACCACGACAAGGAGGGCAAGAAGGGGGAGCACGGCGAGGAGGAGGGCCACGAGAAGAAGCACAAGCACTCCGAGGCCCATCACAAGAAGAAGAAGAAGGGCTCCAAGGGCGAGAAAGGTAGCGAGTTCGAGGACCATGGCTCCTACAAGAAAGGCCACTCCATCAAGGGCAAGCACCACGTCCACAAGCTGGACGAGAACAAGAAGGAAAAGAAATTCTACGATGAGGATCACAAAGAGGGCGGCGAGGAGAAGCACGGCGGATTCGAGGAGTCCAAGAAGCACAAGAAGGGCAGCAGTTTCAAGAAGGGTCACCACAAGAAAGGCGGGCACGAGGAGCACCACGGCAAGAAGGGTCACAGCAAGAAGGGCCACAAGAAGAAGGGTCACAAGGGCCACAAGAAGAAGCACGAGGAGTCGAAGAAGTGGGGCCACAAGAAGGAGCACGGCAAGAAGGGCGGCGAGGAGCACAAGAAGAAGTGGCACAAGTCCCACAAAGAGAGCAGTGAACACGATCATCATGGACACCATTAAGCACCGACTCGGCAATCCTGCCTTCTCCACCATTTTGCGATGTATTTTGTAGGCATTAAAAACAGATAATTCAGACCCAGTTAAAAGTGATTGTTTTGCGTGGAAAACATGGTGGTACACTTAGATAACTTCATTTATAAATATTAGTAATAGTTGCCATAAATATGAGCCTTTCATGCAAAATGTAGGAAAACATTATCTGATTCGAAGTTAAAGGCAATAATGTCTTCCTAAACTTGGTATAAAAGGCTAAAAATTAAGGCAATTATTCCCAATGTTAAGGCCAATTTTCCTAAAATCAAGGAACTTCGATTTCTGACTGTACTAACATTTAACAACAATAGACCCAAACTACATTTAATCTATTCTACGTAATTCGATGTACTTATAATGTTAGCTTATGTCCACTTAGATTCAAAAGCTATTCAGGTCGGCAAAACTGACGTCCATGTACAATATAGCTTAACATGTGTAATGAACACAAGACGTCTTTTGACGACTTATCATAGTTATCTTTAAATTAGAACCCGAGAGCTACCCATTTTCATGTATCTGCTTAGAAAGAGATTATGCGGGGGCGTTTTCCCACATGGGGGAGATTAAAGAAAACATAATTAGGAGGAAAATGGGAGCCATCTTTGGCCAAGGGTTCAGAGATCAATTGGCGATGTTTGGCCTGCCCCTTTTGCACACACACACACACACACCTGCACTGGACTAATTGCCAAACGGTAAGTGAAATATGAATATGCCAGAGAGAGAGAGAGAGATAGAGAGAGAGGGCAAGAGGGGAGAAACGACCGTGTCAAAGGTTAATTACGCATACTGCAGGTCATTCCCTTCCTCACACACACACACACACGCAGCAGCACTAAGATTTGCTCAGTTCATCGTACATATATGCATGCGAGAGTATGTGTGTGTGTATGTGTGTGTTTGCGTAAGCCATTTCCGGTTCGATTTAAGCCCAAATCTTGTCCATTTTCCAGCCTAAGCAAACAAACGGAAACTGGCTTAGTTGGGAGCAGCCTTTAGGGAGTGGCGGCAAGAAAAACGGCCAGGACAACGACAACCAGTTCTGTTTGGTTTCATATGCTAATCCCTCCGACCAGCGTCATAAATCATTTTCAACCAACTGGAGAATAGATGGTGGCCAAGGCACTGAGGGTCTACAGCACAATGGAGGTCGGGGTTAAGTAAAGTTCGTCTGGGCCTGAAAGCATTCGACGATGCCCTCGCTGAATGAGTTCAACAAAATATTCAAAAAATATTCACTTAGTAAACTCACTCGGGCAAGCATTCAAATTAAAAACATAAAAAAGCCTTACTTTATTAAGTATTTTACTATTGAAATAGAAAAACATTTCAATAAACTAAATAAAACATAAAAAATGAATTTAAAGGAAAGTAATTTATACAAAATTCGAACATTTTAAATTGTGGTTATCATATTTAATACCTATTTGAATGCCTACTAATAAAAGTTCTAGGAAACTTTTACTTTCGATTAATATTTTGTTATTGTCGAGTCATTTTAAAAGCCGTCATAAAAACACCTTCGTAAAATTAAATTGATGGCAATGTTTGCTTCAAGAGTATTTCCGTCTTCGTGCCACATAACTACATTTTTATTCGGGGGCAGGGAAACTGCTTTCGAGGTGTGAGTCATGCTGCAATCTGGGGTAAGCAGAGTATAGAAAAATGTATGCCAGTTCCATGGGGATCTGGATGCTGCAATGCTGCGCAACAACTGCAACGACCAATAACAACAGCATGAATATAACAAAAGCCTTAGCCCCAGACCAAGAAGAAGCATCATCTGGGGATCAAAAAGCTGGTTTTTGCCTGGCGCAGCCTGCATCTTTTTGGACTTTGCAACTGCAAGGTGAGCAGTCAACAGTTGCAGTTCGCATAACCATTTCTACACTGATAAAAGGTATAATTTGCTTAACTGTAATATCAATAGCAGTTTAACAATAAATATTAACCTATAAAGTTAAGGCAATTGAAAAGGATATGTGCTTAAAAATTATTAAGTTTATCGCATTGTACTTGAATTTGCGGAACATTTTTCTCCGTGCATGTGTGTGCGTATTTACTGTGGCTCTTATTGTTTTTGGAAAATTGCCTGAGCAGCAGCAACAAGAATCCCACATGGCCACTGGGCAAATGCATTAACGAAAGTGGCTGAGAGTGCAACAGGGAAGTAGCTTGAGGGGGGTGCATTTTCCAGGGGGGGATTACAACCCAGGCGTTGTCGTGTGGCCTGGTGTATCAGCACTAAGAGATCATAATTCACACAAGTCGGCTAATAATTCAGTTAAGTTGAAATGCGCAACACACAAGTTGCACAGTTTCCCCAGCACGAGGGGTTGCAAAATGTGAACTGCTGATGAAGTTGGCTACAGGCGGGGCAGTCGGAGTTTCTACGGTGGGGGGGAGGTGGTCGGGGTCTGAGGATAAGTGCCGCCACACACACACACACATGCACTTGGGAGCCATTTGGAGGAGGAGCAAGCTGGCAAGAAGCTCTCCAATTTGGGTTTATGGTCTCAGTTTCGAGAACTCGTTAAGGCTAGAAGCCACTCAGTTGCGGTTCGAAAATTAAAGAAAACGTATATTACTATAAACAAATATTAGTAATTATAAATTACAAGGACCGAAGCACGAAACTAGGGTAAAAAGCCATCTAAGACTAGTGATTCGGGATTTGCTATTTTAAAATTGATGCGGTTTAAATAATAACAATTATATTTCTTCTTCGATGATAATTGTATTTATATTTATATTAAACAGCTTAACGCTCTCTAACTTCTCAGTTAAATACTGTGAATGTTTTAACCATCGACCTTGCTCCTACTTCCAATTTAAGAACTTCAATTCGAAGTTTGGCTGGCGGATAGCTCAGCAGTTTTTAAGGGATTTTTAATGTTCTTTCAAATTAGTTTCGGCATCCCATGCGAGTGTGTGCGTGTGTCTAGAAAAGTTCATTGTTTGCGAAGAACAACAACTTCTTCTTCTTCTTTGACTGTTGGTAACAATGTTGTTACTAAGTCTCCCTTTGCTGAGGTTATGTGCATCCGTACATTTCATAGCTTACACAAAAGCTAAACTTCAGCTTAACAGGCTTAAGGTTTAATAAGTATATAGGCTTATGTTTGCTTAAATATTGATTTCATTAAATGAAACCCGCTGAGGAAATCTTGAATTTGTTTTTATTTTAAAAATAAATCTAACATTTTGTGCCTACAAGTGGTGGAGTATGCCACATTGAATCTATTGTAACAAATTTACTTTAAAATTCGATTTATTTATTATTGTTTATGTCAGAAAACCTTTATCATAATTTTGTTTTTTAATTTTTATATATGTGGATTTTTACCAGGGAATTGTGAATTGTGTTGATCGTTTATTGCAAAAAAAAGTGTCTACAATAACAAAAGAATAATGGAAAATAGTTGGTTCAACTATTATTTTCTGCTGTGCATATATATATTTATATCAATAGTGCATGCATAGATTAATTTAAAAATCAAATCTAGCTTCTAAAAATATACTTAAATGATGTACAAATAAGGACGAGCATTAGGACAAAGAGGCCATTAGATACTCAATGGAATAGAGGCCATTTGGGCTCAAAGTGACTGGGGGTGATTGGGCGATGCATCTGCTTGGGGGCAATTAGGACAGCTCGTAAATATGCCAGAATGCGCTCGGATGCATCAATGAATGTGTCAATGATTAGGCACGCCGGGACAAAGGACACGCTGCCCACGATGATGGCGCAAATCGAAATGTTGCACTCCGCATCGGTGGAGAGGGGCGGCGAGGGGGCGGAGGTGACGTCAGCGCCTAATGCAACTGCAGTGTAATGGACGCGGGGGCGGCCGATCGCCGAAGGGAGGCTGGTGGGGGGGTGTGGTTACTGCAGGCCATAATCAAGCGAGTGGAAGCAAGGGACGATGACTGGAGCGATACACAGATGCACTTGCCAAAAACTACAGACTCTGGTAAATATTGATTTAAAATATATAAAAACTATAAATTTATAGTTAAAAATATTATACTTTAAACGTATACATTGCATTTAAAAAAGCATAAGACATCAAATCATTGAAAAAGCATTAATTGAATATTAAAATGTATGGCTATGACTACACTTTCTAACCATTCTAACCATTTTTATATAATTGTGTCATTCAGCTTTATTAAGCACATATCAAATCGTTACAAGTGCAATAATTTTGTAATAAAATGTATGGGATAACTACATATTGATACCCATACATTTTATTACTAACTCATTGCATAAGTAGTTATTTTGATATGATATCAAAATGGGGTAAACAAATATAAATAGAAAATATAACTAAAACAATGTATGTTTTATAATACATACGTTAAATAATTTTTGTTTTGATACCATTATTTACCTATAAAGAATTTTTCATTTCTTATTTCAGTGCACATACACCCGCACTCCACTAAAGACACACACACACACACATGGTCCTGGCATTGCAGTCAATTTATTGTGACCAATATAACGCCGGGACGGACTCGCCGGATAGCTCCTGTTCGGAGTAGCGGTGAATGTGGGTGTGGGTGTGGGCGGTAAATGAGAGGGGGCCGGACTCACTGGGTGCATGTAAATTGAAAATTATGGCAATGCGCAACAAGATTAGCCAATGGCTGGGTGGTGCCAATGGTGCCAGTGGTGCTGGCGGTTCCGAGCCTTCCTAACAAGACCCAAATGAATTTATCGAGATGGGGAGAGATACGGATGGGGCAGCGGTACGCGAGTTGCACAAACATAAACTAAATGAATGCCCATGGCCACTAAATGAAGTTATGACTTAATGTATACAGTTATGTATGTATGTATTCTTGTATAGAAATAAAATGAGAGATACTGAAAGATAGCAACTGAAATTTTTCTCGTAAAAAAATGTATTTCTAGAAAATAGAAAAAAAAGTAAATATAGTAAAATCATAGATCAGACACAAGTCTTATTGTAATATTATATTTGGGTCATTTAAAATCAGCTGTTTAACAAGTGTTGCACACCAAAATATTATATTTTAAAATTAATGTAATGCAAAAAAATGATTAAACATGTAAAATGTTTGACTAGCGAGAAGAGGAAATGTAATGGAATTTTGTTTGGATACAAAATGCTGCTATTCTTTGGGCCAACAGTTCTTTTGCAGTGACATAAAAACTTTTTGAACAACAAAACCATTTTTGAGAAGTTACATTTTTCGATGTTAAACAAAGACATTTCTTACATAACAGGATTCAAGAACTGAAGAAAAGTGTTATTTATGGGGACACACACGTTTCAGTCCATAATTCTTATATATGTACATGAAAATAAATTTAGCCAGAACACTTCACTCACCGGGAAACACTGTGGTGTGTCAAATCCATTCCACTTTGGCGCCCTGCAGTCAGCTCCACTCGACCATTTTTCTGCGCCATTTTGACACAGAATCCAAAACACTCAGTCACTCACACATGCATACATGTACATATCTGCAGTGCGGGGGATCCCCCAGAAATTCGCAACGAATCAAAGAAGGCTTCTCATGCTGCATGCACTGGCTGCCTGGCTGCCTTATTATGTAAATGTCCCGACTGAAGATGCGCTCTAGCCTGCCAACGTCATCGATTTATAAAATATGCAATTCCAGAATCAACCTACCCCTGTATCTCGATTCATCCGTATCTTTCGCATCTGAAACATCGGTCTTCGACTGCATGGTTACTTTGTAAGCAGGGGCTTACGTTGTTGCTATCACTTTTGCTGACTGCAATCCGAAAATTTAGCAAAATCAATCTGAGTACAGGAGCACTTAGGAAAACTGTGCATAGTTTTAATCTGTTGAAAAAAAAAACTTTATTATACCTTAAGAATACCTTAAAGTAATTTTATTTTATTTTTCTTTAAGTACGATTATATTTCGGAAAACAATGTTAAATACAAACATTTTAATGTTTAACTTAACTATGCCTTTTTCCCAGGGTGTGCATTTTGTTTGATATCTGCTTGCAAGAACACTTAAATAATTATTTTGTTTACTTTTTTACCTCTCCATTGATTGCTTCCGCAAAAAAAAAACCAGGAGGGGCAAAAATCAACTCCTAACTAGAACAACGGCATAAGGAAGAACGGTAAAACGAAAATCGATGGGAGACTGCAATAAAAGGCTTTTGGAATTACAAAAAGCCAACCCACGCGCAGTCATTAATCGCGAATTGATTAATTTAAAATTGCATTTCAGTGCACTAAATGGTAAACTAATAGCTTGTATAATTAATTGATTGCTATTTTAAACGAGGAATTTAACACCATACATACCTCTTCAAGCCATCTCCTTCAATTGCGCTTCCCACCGGTCGCTCTATCTCGCTCGCTCACTTCGATTGGCGAAAGCTCCGCTCGCACTCGATATCAGCTCACAACTTCGCTTGGAAGCTCGCGATCGGTGGGGCGAAATCGATATCGAATCGCACCGAAAGCTTTCGAAGTGCGAGCGGCTACGTTATATTACTGCGGCTCAGTCGGTTTTCGTTCGTTCTGTTGGAGAAAAGCAGCAATCACACGTTCGCAAGGTGAACGCGAAGACACAGTAAAGTAAGCCCCCACCACCCATTAATACCCAAAAAGCAAATAAGTAAAGATAAATAATGTCTTAAAACGGTTCTGGGCGATTCTAATGATTAAAGAAAGCGGCGCTGAGATCAGCCTTGAATTCGCCCCGAAAAAGTGACGAAGCAGCGATCAAAGCGGAGAGCGAAAACACGCACACGGACTGCAAGTGTGTTAGATAATAAGTGCAGCACAAACTCGCAAGCAAAACCCCGAAAGTTAAAAGTTAATAAGTTTTCAATGGAGCTTGAAAAAGTGCGGTCTGAAAACGTGAAAATTTGCGCGTGGAAAATTATTTTACCTTGTCAGCTGACCCCCTTCCCCGTGTTCCCCCGTCTCTTTCCCACTGTGGGTCTTGTGATCGCCGCCTCTCTCTCTCTCTCTCTCTCTCCCATCTCTCATTTTTAACTTCGAAACAGAAGTTGTGGGCTTCGATTGTCAACTCTGCTGATAAAAAACCAATATGGAGACCCGACTTAAAAAGGCGGTCCCAACATATTTTCTTTTTTCCCTTACCCACTTTTTTTCACTTGTCAGCTGACGGCAATGACAGTAGTCTTGTGATCAACGTCAAAGGCAATTGTCAAATATTCGAACTCGAATGGAGAGAGCGAGAGTGGAGAGTTTCTCTGCGACTCTCTTGTTTGTCGTCTCTTTCCTTGTTTTTTTCTCAGATAAAAACTAAAACCCGCATATTTAAAAAAACAAACGTTTCATTTACATTCCGCAGCTCAATTTGACAGCCAGAGCGTGAGAGTTTTCAGAGTGAATATTTTATTTATTTAGCGATTAGTTAAGTTAATTACAATTTTCGAACTTTCAAAGCTCTGTCACGTGAAACGAAAGCTCTGGCTTTTCAAGTTTTACGCAGCATAATCGAAGAGGGGGAGTTAAAAAATAACGAAATCGGTGAAAATTATTATGTTATAACCTTAAATCAGTAAAACAAGCGGCTGCATTTTACCCTTAAACTTAACCTGGAAATTGTGGAGAGAGACAGACTTACTTACATATACACCTGCCCTTTTGTCAGCTGACAATGGCCCAACCAGCAACTAGTGATAAGACATTTTTCACCTTTATCTTTGCCCTTTTTCAACAAGCATTTTATAATTTTCTTTTCAATTTTGCTTTGCAGTTGTAGAAACAGAATAAAGCAAAATGTCCAACCTTAAGCGTTTCGATGATGAGGAGCGTGAGTCCAAATATGGACGTGTGTTCGCCGTCTCTGGCCCTGGTAAGTAGTTAACTTTAAATCAAAAGTCTTACTATCGTGTGTACGAGCGTGTGTAATTACTAGAAATTGAAGTAAATGGGAAATCAGTTTCAAAACATTCAATAAAATCACAATTAGATTGTAGTTTTCTCCAATAAATCTTACAAAAACAATTCCGTACCTAATCAATGATTGCAAACAACAAAATGTTAAGAATAGTGTTTTACATAAATTGTTATATTACATTTGAAATTTTATTGTTAAATAAACATTCAACGAAATATAGACCTCATATTATTATTATTAATTTATTGCTTTGAGGGTTGCTATGCTTGATCAATGATTTGGGGTCCAGAAATGTATTTGTTTTGAATATTTACCCTTTTTACAACCAACATGTGCAAGTCAGAAGTGTTCATTTTCAAGAAAAAATATCAATAATCAATTTTGCTTGAAAAATTTAACTAATTTCTTAAGATTTATACATTTTAATAATTTAAAAACGTTTAACTCCTCCTTTTTAGTCGTCACCGCCGAGGCCATGTCGGGATCAGCTATGTACGAGTTGGTCCGTGTGGGCTACTACGAGCTGGTGGGCGAGATCATCCGTCTGGAGGGCGACATGGCCACCATCCAGGTGTACGAGGAGACCTCCGGCGTGACTGTCGGTGATCCCGTGCTGCGTACCGGCAAGCCCCTCTCCGTGGAGCTCGGACCCGGCATCATGGGCAGCATCTTTGACGGTATTCAGCGTCCCCTGAAGGACATCAACGAGCTGACCGAGTCCATCTACATCCCCAAGGGCGTGAACGTGCCCAGTTTGTCGCGCGTGGCCAGCTGGGAGTTCAACCCTCTGAACGTCAAGGTCGGCTCGCACATCACCGGCGGTGACCTGTACGGTCTAGTGCACGAGAACACCCTGGTCAAGCACAAGATGATCGTGAACCCCCGCGCCAAGGGCACAGTGCGTTACATCGCCCCCTCGGGCAACTACAAGGTCGACGATGTCGTCCTGGAGACGGAGTTCGACGGCGAGATCACCAAGCACACCATGTTGCAGGTGTGGCCAGTGCGTCAGCCCCGTCCCGTGACCGAGAAGCTGCCCGCCAACCACCCCCTGCTCACCGGACAGCGTGTCCTCGACTCGCTCTTCCCCTGCGTCCAGGGCGGTACCACCGCCATTCCCGGAGCCTTCGGTTGCGGCAAGACTGTGATCTCGCAGGTGAGACTCCATTCCTCCAAGTAACCGGCAGCTAGAAGCTTATATTGTGTCATTATCTGTCCGCAGGCCCTGTCCAAGTACTCCAACTCTGATGTGATCATCTACGTCGGTTGCGGCGAGCGTGGTAACGAGATGTCTGAAGTGCTGCGTGACTTCCCCGAGTTGTCCGTGGAGATCGACGGTGTGACCGAGTCCATCATGAAGCGTACTGCCCTGGTGGCCAACACCTCCAACATGCCTGTGGCTGCCCGTGAGGCCTCCATCTACACTGGTATCACCCTGTCCGAGTACTTCCGTGACATGGGTTACAACGTGTCCATGATGGCTGACTCCACCTCCCGTTGGGCCGAGGCTCTGCGTGAGATTTCGGGTCGTCTGGCTGAGATGCCTGCCGATTCTGGCTACCCGGCTTATTTGGGTGCCCGTCTGGCCTCCTTCTATGAGCGTGCCGGTCGCATCAAGTGCCTGGGTAACCCAGAGCGCGAGGGCTCCGTGTCCATTGTGGGCGCTGTGTCGCCTCCTGGTGGTGACTTCTCCGATCCCGTGACCTCCGCCACTCTGGGTATCGTGCAGGTGTTCTGGGGTCTCGACAAGAAGCTGGCCCAGCGCAAGCACTTCCCCTCGATCAACTGGCTGATTTCGTACTCCAAGTATATGCGTGCCCTGGACGATTTCTATGACAAGAACTTCCCCGAGTTCGTGCCACTGCGTACCAAGGTCAAGGAGATCCTGCAGGAGGAGGAGGATCTGTCTGAGATCGTGCAGCTGGTCGGCAAGGCCTCTCTGGCGGAGACCGACAAGATCACGCTCGAGGTGGCCAAGCTGCTGAAGGACGATTTCCTGCAGCAGAACTCGTACTCGTCGTACGATCGCTTCTGCCCCTTCTACAAGACCGTGGGCATGCTGAAGAACATCATCGACTTCTACGACATGGCCCGCCACTCCGTGGAGTCGACGGCTCAGTCCGAGAACAAGATCACCTGGAACGTGATCCGTGAGGCTATGGGCAACATTATGTACCAACTGTCGTCCATGAAATTCAAGGTTGGTTCACACACACACTGGCTGTTTATAATAATAATATATATTATTATAATTTTATAATTTCAGGACCCTGTTAAGGATGGTGAGGCCAAGATCAAGGCTGACTTCGAGCAGCTGCACGAGGACCTGCAGCAGGCCTTCAGGAATCTGGAGGACTAGAGATCGCGTTGGCCCTACTTTTACACTCTAATCTTACATTTGTTATATAGTTAACTTTTAAAAAAGAAAGCAGTCGAAAACCACCCGAAAAAGCCTAATCAAACACCAACAATTCCGTGCTGCATTCGAAGTAAAACGAAAGTCCAACAAATTCCACAACTTTTTGGTGCCTGCGAGAGATGTAAACATTCCGGCCTGCGGTTAATACTTTTCCTAACCACGCCCCTTCGCCCTCAAGGCAACAGCAATAACTACAACTACAACGTCCTTCTATGTACTTCCATTTACAACAACAGCAAAAGTCGCACACACACACACACTTGAATAAAAGTACACGGACACAGGCGCGCGCACACACATACACATACATAAAAGACACAAATACAAATGCATGCATAAATAGTATTATTGTTTAATGAATGGAAATTCTTGTTTATTTGTGAAAAAGTCATGTTTTCTCCTTGTTTGTTTGTTAAATTTATGTAAATATTTAAAGTATGAAATATTAAATGTACGAATAAAGTGCAACAACAATACATTTAATGTAATTGCAAGTGAATTTCACTGGTTTTAAAGAAACATGTATATAAATCTTGGATATTGAAAGATGAGTTGGAAATTTAAATTAACAGCACAGTTAAAAATTTACTGATATAAAACAGATGCAAGTCAAAATTTATAAAGTGAAGATCATAAAATTTTTCTTTTCAAAGAGTCTTTTTCCTAGCATCATTATAGTTTTTCTATAACCTTCTTTTTGTGTTTGACAAACAAATTGTAACAAATTATTTCAAGTTTAAGTAAAAATTGTAATTGTGCACTAAATCGAAATGGATAACAAAAAGAAGACCTGGATTGCGTCGCTCACCTCGAACACCAGTAGTGCTGTGATTTCCAGCGAGTCCACTCCGCGGAGCTCGGGTTCAGATGCCGCCCCCCAATTTGCTCAGCCCAGGCAGGTGCCGCAGAGTGTGGAGAAACCTAAGAAGTGCACCTGCCGCACCTGCAACTGTCCACGTCCTGAACCCACAAATGCCTCCATAATCCAACCCCCCCAAGTTCGGCGTTCGGTGGACGCAGATGATGAATCTGTCGCCCGGGAATCATCGATGCAATCCAACAAGAGCCTTCACATAGTTATGGAATCACCGAAGAACGAGGATTCGCGTGATGTGTACGAGAAGGTGGTGGGATTGCACACCTACGTGATAGAGGTGGATGAAGAGGAGGAACAGCACATGGGTCGCATTTTCGGCGTTTCCGGACCGGTGGTGAATGCCGAAGAGATGGCCGGAGCGGCCATGTACGAGTTGGTCCGCGTGGGCCACTGCCAGCTGGTGGGCGAGATCATTCGGCTGGAGGGCGACATGGCCACCATCCAGGTGTACGAGGACACCTCGGGCGTGAGTGTCGGCGATCCGGTCTTCCAAACGGGCAAGCCGCTGTCCGTCGAACTGGGTCCCGGCATAATGGGCAGCATCTTCGACGGCATCCAGCGACCGCTGAGGACGATTAACGAGCTAACCAACTCCATCTACGTGCCCAAGGGCATCGATGTGCCCGCCCTGCCACGCGACATAAGCTACGACTTCACGCCCGCCAAACTCAAGATCGACGATCTGATCAACGGCGGAGATATCTACGGATCGGTATTCGAGAACAGCATGATGCACGACCATCGGCTGATGTTAGCTCCAAAGTGCAAGGGTCGCGTCAAATGGCTGGCTCCGCCGGGGAACTACTGTGTGGAGGACGTGATCGTGGAGACGGAGTTCGACGACGAGGTCACCAGCCACACCATGCTGCAGGTGTGGCCGGTGCGCAAGTGTCGTCCGGTGGAGGACAAGCTGCCCAGCAACACGCCCCTTCTCACCGGCCAGCGCGTCCTGGACGCCTTCTTTCCCTGTGTCCAGGGCGGAACGACCGCCATTCCGGGTGCCTTTGGCTGTGGAAAGACTGTCATATCGCAGGTGAGTTGATTTAACTAAATAGTAAAAGCTTCTTCGTAATAGAATTCTATTTGGTTTTTATCTTACTTAGCAGAATAATTAGGGATTGAATTAAATATATTATTAATAGATTTTAGTACATTTTTATATTTTAAGTCTGCAAATAGTTGATGATTTGAAAATCTAATTTAAAAATTAATTCAAATATTATAATGTTCATTAAATTATCGGCTACTTTTATTTAATTTATTCATTAATGGCAAATGTTTTATGAAAATCGAAAAATGTATTACTTACCACATTGATTCAAATATTTTTATATTCGTTAAATAATCTGTTTAATTTTATATTTAATTCATTAGCAATGGGACACATTTTATGCAAAACGAAAATCTATACTTTTCCTTATCTAAATTCCTTTCTTTTGTTTATAAATTTGCAAATGTGAGGGACACAGATTCATTGGCAATATTTATTTAAATTTAGTTTTAAAATAAGGAAACAAAAATAATAAAATTTTTGCTTTAAAATAAAATAAAGTAAAATAAAAGTAAAGTAAAAATAAAAACAAGTTGCAACTATCTTTAAGCATGCATAAATTCTTTGATTTCAGAGATATGAATATATTGTTTATGCTAGTGAAGGAATTTATCGTTATTCAAAAACAATTGACATATATTTTAAATCTAATATTTAAAATGAACTTTGAAGGCAACTTTCATGTTTCATTACTTTCTGATTGAACTTTAATTTCTTGTAATTTTCTACAGTCCCTTTCGAAGTACTCCAACTCCGATGTCATCATCTACGTGGGATGCGGGGAGCGGGGCAACGAGATGTCCGAGGTGCTGCGCGACTTCCCGCAGCTGGAGGTGGACGTCAACGGCACCATGGAGTCGATCATGAAGCGCACTGCCCTGGTGGCCAACACCTCCAACATGCCGGTGGCTGCCCGTGAGGCCTCCATCTACACGGGCATCACCCTGTCCGAGTATTTCCGCGACATGGGCTTCCACGTCTCCATGATGGCCGACTCCACCTCGCGATGGGCGGAGGCGCTGCGTGAGATTTCGGGTCGTCTGGCGGAGATGCCTGCAGATGCCGGCTATCCGGCTTACCTGGGCGCCCGCTTGGCGTCCTTCTACGAGCGAGCCGGGCTGGTCAAGTGCCTCGGAAGTCCGGATCGCAGCGGGTCCGTGTCAATTGTGGGCGCTGTGTCGCCTCCTGGTGGTGACTTCTCCGATCCCGTGACCTCCGCCACACTGAGCATTGTCCAGGTCTTCTGGGGACTGGACAAGAAGCTGGCCCAGCGCAAGCACTTTCCCTCGGTGAACTGGTTGCAGTCGTACTCCAAGTACATGCGCACCCTGGACTCCTACTACGAGGAGTCCAGTCCGGAGTTCACCCAGCTGCGGGCCAAGGCCAAGCAGGTGCTGCAGGAGGAGGACGACCTGGCCGAGATCGTGCAGCTGGTGGGCAAGTCGTCGCTGAACGAGGAGGACAAGATCACGCTCGAGGTGGCCAAGATGCTGAAGGACGACTTCCTGCAGCAGAACTCCTACAGTCCGTACGATGCCTTCTGTCCCTTCTTCAAGACCATCAGCATGCTGAAGAACATGATGGCCTTCTACGAGTCGGCCATCCAGGCAGTCCAGAACACGGCCAACAACGAGGCGCGGGTCACCTGGGGACTGATCCGCACGAGGGCCGCCAACATCCTGTACGAGCTCTCCACCATGAAGTTCATCGATCCCAAACTGGGCGAAGCGGTGGTGGTGGAGACCATGGACAAGCTCTATGAAAATATTATACGAACGTTTCGTGATATTGAGGACAACGCCGGGGAATATTAACAAGAATTGGTTATTATTAATTCACTAAATTACTTCTGTATTATATTCGGTCCAAAAAATGTGCATTCTTTTTTAGAAAGTATCTTATTAAATTAAGCGTAAGCTGTTTGCATGTTTATGTCAATAATGAAAACCCACACTGGTAAAAAAAAACTTAGTAAATCCAACAATTTTTTACTTAATTAATATTTTACCTTTGATTTTTATTCATTGCGTTTTTAAGTTAACTTAAATATGAAGACATTACGAATTTCTAACATTTTTCATTAGACTATTTTAGAAATTGATTTTATTATCTTAAAATTATTTAGATTAAATAAAATATACTTAAATCTCATATATATACAACATCAAGAAAAGTATTTAATAATTTAATCATGCAATTCAATGTGCATTGTATTTAGAAAAGTGATTTAATATTTTGTTTAAATATTACTTATAAAATTTTGAACTCAATAGTTAATAAGTGAAGTTATCTATTAAAAAATTTAAAATTTTAAAACTCACCTTCAACAATATTTTTGTAATGAACTCTTTAGAATGAATGAAGAATGAATGAATGAATGAATCAATTAGAATGAGCTTTATTAGATCAGGAGGTCAGTATTACATTATTACATTCTCAAAGACTGGCATTGTTCAATTCGATTTGTAATTGATATTTTGTAAATAAGTACTTGATACCAAATCGATTTTATTACTTACCAAAAGCCAATATTAGAACGCTTTGTTCAAAGCCATATCAGTTAATCTAAATTATGCTTACATTTCCCTTCATATTTTCTAGCAGAAGAGAACCCTTTCAAAACCTTGCCACTAACTGCGATTATCGAGTGATTATTTGCCTCAACTTATCGCGGTAATTTCCTAGTCGGTGAAAGCAATTTACCCACCAACGCGTTTTGCTCATTAGAAGCCATAATGGCCTCTGAAATTACCGACCCGCCAGAGTTTTGGCATGCGGATTCCCTTCACAGTTAATCCTTTTGCCGAGAACATCAGAGGAGAGTGGTGAACCCCAAAATGGAGATTATAAAAAATTTCGTTGATTTATAGGAAAAGTTTGTTAATGCGCCAAAAGCGGCCACGCCCCGAAAACCGACCGAATTTCCCAGCTCACACCTCTGCCAGCCGCAATCCAAAAAGCAAACGTCAAGGCCCTCTGAAGGGCTTTTTTCCGCAGCAAGGGAGCGAGAGATCGATTTCGATTCAATTAGTGGAAATTAAATGTAAGTATATATGTACAAGTCGCCACCTCGCCCACTGCTACGCCACTATCCCCGCCCACTGGGGGGATTGCGATGATTACATTTCCGTAAGCCCGCTCCCCCCGCCCACTACGGCAAACCAAGTCAGCCATAAAATGAGCGCCGAGCAAAAGAAGCAAGCCAAAAAATCAGAATCAGTTCAATTGCAAATTGAAAATCCCCTTACAACTTCCGTTTCCGCTATGCGAGGGGTCAGCACTGAGAGAAAAGCGAGTGCACTCAGCCAAAGAGATTTTAATTATATCTTCAAATAATTTAAAATATATATACAAACAAAATTAAAGATTTAAATTAGGCCAAAAACTACAAATTATATTTTCAAATAATTTAAAATAAATATACAAAAAAAAATTAGAGATTGTTTTAAGCTTATTTTTGTTTGATTTGTATAATCAGAGAATCTATTTCCGATGTTACACAAATTAATTTGAAAGCTCAGAAAAAGTTGTTGCCATGTTTTCAATGTTTTCATGAATCCACTTTACTTTTGCCTTCTTTTGTATTTAATTGGGCCAAAAATTACAAAAAAAAAATTGAAAATTAATTGAATAACTAGTGAATCTTATTCTGATGTTAAACAAATTAATTTGATGATTTTTTAAATAACATATATTTTTATTTTGAATATGAATTAAGGTCTATATCAATTTAATTGAAGTGTGGCAAGCTCAGGCACATGTGTGTGTGTGCTCACAAGCGATAGTATGCGAGAGAGAGTGTGCGAGGGCGTCTGGCTGCCATGACAAACGTGGCGTATGAGCAATGCGCGCTAATTGGCTGCCATTCGATGCTCGCTCCGTTCCGTTCTGTTGGCGTCGCTCTGGATCTCAGAGCAGTCGAGTATCCTTGCCTCGCATCCTGCCACTCCCCGAACCCCCACCCAGATCCCTTTTGGCCCCCTCGTGTCCCTGAACCATTAGCCATTTGCGAGTTTTGAGCTGAAAGCTGCTTGGGCTCAGCTTGGGATTGCGTTGCTGATGGCGGAGTTTCGCAGGACCAAAGCGGGACTGATGATGGTGATGGTGATGGGGTTGGCGTTGGGGTTCTGGGGTTGGGGTTGGCGTTGGGGTTCTGGGGACTTATTGCATAATTTGAAGGGGTTAAGCCATTGAGCTTTAATGCAAAATTTCAATTGAACGTCAAACAGTCAATTCGCTTTAGCGGCGATAATCGTAAAAGGATAATGGCGCTAAAAGCGCATAAAAAGGCAGCAGTCAGGCGGCAAGGACTCCCTCCCAGCCCCTGGTTGTGCGGGTGTGTGGATGAGTGTCTTTTTTCCCATTTCCGTCTGATGCCTGGCCTAAGTGTGCACTCAATTAAAGGATTTCTTTTCGGGGCAGAAGGCTAACGGCCACACAATATTGGCATGGTTAAATAAGCTCTAAGCTTGGCCCATTTCTACATTTTTAAGACGCTTTTCCGAGTATCAGACATGGTTAGTACAAAACATAAGCATGCTTGAAAATCGAAAGCCGAAATCAAGGAAATGTCATCAATATTAATACTTTAATATTTGCTTCGAGAAATTTACTTGGGCTTATGTTGTGTGTCAGTTAGATTTTATGCTTTGTTTATTTAGTTATTTTTAGGAGTACTTCATTTTTTGTAACTGGTTGTATATAGCAGATTATCAGATTATAAATTTAATCAATGTTAAATTTAATATATACTCAAAGTTGATACATGCTAGCATTTAATCGTAGCTAAATATTGGAATATTTATATAATAAAAAGATATTTAAAAAACATTTAGTAATCTGATCCATAATCAGGGCCATCAATTTTCAGCTCATGACACAGATTTGTTTGCCATTCACAGATACGATAGGATCGTACCGCTTAGTTCAGCGTCTTTAGACTTATCCTGATATCGCGTCTGTTAATTTAAGGTCTCAGCACCCAATCCTTAACCCATGCCCCCAACTCACCGCAATCGCTGACAAGTTTAACCCAAAGAGGAAGCGTGTGCCGGGGCCAAAGACATGTCTCACTGCTTGTTATTGTTGTTTCTGGGAGTTGTTTTTTAGCCGCAGGGCCAAAGGATATCATAAGCACATAAGATGATGAAGTTGGAAACGCAACGGAAAACCCGGGATGGGAAGGAAAAGCGAGGCGCAACAAGGACATGAACAAATGGAAATGGGAAAAGGGGCGTGGAAACAACGATGAGGGCAACTTAATTTGCAACTTATACGCAAAATCCTCTTGATTTTGTTATGTCGCCGCTTGAAGGTCTCCAGTGTCCCCTGGTATATCCTTTTCTTGTATGTGTGAGTTTTCCCAGCTCGCCTGCAGTTATTTGCCAAACTTAAGGGTGCAACCTTTTGCCATGTTTTCTCTGATTTTCCACGTTTCTTTTGGCTTTTCTTCGGTTTTGGTTTCAGTTTCGGTTTGGCCAAGTTTTCGTTTATGGAAAAAGGTCCGCTGATCATTGTCCTTTTTGGGCCTATCCACACACACATACACACACACATAGGCGGATACATATCGGTCTGCTGTTTAAGGGAATTTAAATTAAGCCTATGCAAATTCGCCACAGGATGCTTTTCTTTCTCCCCCCCCTGATTTTCTTTCTTTCTTTTTTGAAAGCGAATGAACCACCAACTGCTGGTCGCATTAACGCCGCATTATGGCTGCAGTCACGGCCAATTCTTGGGTCTTCCCATTTTGTTCAAATAAAAAGAAAATACACGGAAATTGAATACCTTTTTAAAAATATTTTTAACGATTTTTATATACCAATATATTTTTTATATAGCACTTTCTTTCTATGCGTATCTTATTTATTTATTTATTTACGAGCAACTCATATCTTTCTGTACCATGTGCTGCAAAAAATGTTATAAACTAAGATCTTATTTTATAATTAGACTGTCAGGATGGGAAGAAGTTTTAAAAAACAATACAAATTTTTTTTTAAGCTGCAACTTTGAAAGTCTTTGCGAATTAAATAAAAATACTTTTGTTGTTAAGGACTTTTCACCACCAACCGAAATACCAATATTTCGAAGAAAACGCTAAGTACTGAAAAACTTTAGTGCAGAGTTGCAGATCCTTTGTTATTTGAATTACGTTTGAAAGTAAAAATACTAAAATATTGCTTATTACATATTACCTATAAAAATATATAATACTCATTTAATTTTTGTTTTTTAAAAGCTTATCAAGTCTGTTTAATCATGACCAGTACTGTTCCCACTGTGCACTGTGCGCACATGAATCAGCGCCTTAATGTATGCTCTGAAAAATGCCATGAAAAAGTTTTTGGCATAAAAATTTGCTCGCATCTTGGAGCAAAAATGGAAGTGGAAAAAGGAAAGAGGGAGAAAGTCCTTTGCCACTTGCTGCGGCGTGTCGCCTGTCACACAACAACTGCCCTATCACTCACTTTCCCCACTTTCCCTCACCGCCCCCATTCCTGCCCGTTTTCCGCTCCTCCGCAGATAATGAAATTGTTGCGAACAGAGTGAAAAAGAAACTTTTGGCTGTGTTCTGTGTTCATCAGGCGAAGGCAGGCAAACATTTTAAATACAAAAGGATATGCGTGGGCCAGGACGAGGAGTCCTTTTACAGTGACATTGATGAAACGCTTGAAATTTACTGCGCTGCGATCTGCTGCTGCCCTAACCACGGCTTCTTTCTCTTTAAAATAAAGTAAAACGCACTCAGAGAAATATGTACAATGTACCCAAAACTAATACTGGCTTACGTGCCGTATGAGTAATTTTTATGGAAACTTCATTTAAAATTGTTTGTTTACTAATATCTACTATTTAAAAGGGTGAGAATAATATTACTAATAAAAAGTCATGGCTTAAATTAAGGAGTGCTTACAATAAAATGTGAAAAA